GCTCATCACACTTGTCTTCACTTTTGCGACGAGAGCATCAAGCTAACTAGCTTCAGAACTTCTTGACATTCATTTGGAACAGAAGCGCATTGCGCATTCGCGCTCATGACTGCCGCAGGTAGCTTCGCTGCTCTGTGATATCACTGGTAAGCACACCTCCCCTCTATCTCCCCTCGTCCAATGATGATCAGATTGTGCTACGGCACGCTGGAAATTACCGACCAAGGCTTCTGCCGGTGCCGATAAACAATGGCTGTTTCTGATTTTGACTTTCACATTTACTGCTCTTCTCAACATCGCTATTGACTCTCGCTAACATTTCGCGCGTTGTAGACACTATCATCCCCCGACCCAAATGGTACGATTCCTCCCTCCCGACCCCTCTTCGAACACCATATGATGATTCCGCACTGGGCACCGACAATTCGTGACGGATATGCTCATTATGGCAGGCCTCAGAAACCTCGCCGACTGACCTCGCTCGCCAACACTGCACACTCATACAAGCGTCGTAGAGCTTCGGCTAACAACGCAATCAGTCTGTTCTCCAACAACAGTCTGTGACGTCCTCATGGGTAAGCGCACACCTCTTGCTCACCTTCCGGGAAATGATGAACACTTGATGACGAGTCCGACGGGTTCGCCCGGTGAAGACTTAAAATCAAAATATCCATTCATGTCAACTGATCCCACTTCAATGCATACCATTTGCTTTCTCCTCACTGGCAGAAGCTTTTGCTAACATGCTACCCAGATCCACCAGCGCTTGCCTCACTACAATCGGTACGCTCACCGCCTATCTCCTTCTTCGATATGATGATACGACTTTATCAATGACAAGCATATGTCCAAGCTTCGGCGACGACGAGAATTGTCCTGTCTGATCCACACTATACTGTGTTGCACTATGAAGATGAGATACAACAGCAACTGATCAGTTGCATAGGATGTTCTACTCATGTTGCAAGCGTGATGCTATCCTCTATGGTAAGTCTTCCTCAATCACCTCCACTTCCTTTTACAAGATGAACATTCAATTTATCACGACGGTCTACCGAGCTACGGCAATGGTGATAACTGCCTGTGACAGGGCATGAGTCTGATCAACACCCTCAACTTGCACATATTGATTACTTTTGATGCATCAAACGCTAACAATATGTTCAGATCTCAACTCTTTTCCATGAATCCCGTGACCAAAAACGCCTTCCTATGCTCTCGCGATGCCGCTCAAAGCGTGTTCCAATCAATGTCCTGGAATCTTCGTGCGACGCGTCGAGACTTGTCCGTAGTCCACCATGCCAGTAGCTCAATACAATCCAATCGTAATATCTCCACGAATCCTTGCCGTCAAGTGAATCTCTGCCTCCAAATCTAGCTTGATACCCAGGAGTAACGCCGCATCCTTGGGCTTGCCGTTGTCGTCCACTGGCCCCTTGATGATGTTGCCGGCCGGTCGGTTGAGTGTGGCTGAGGATGGGACAGGGCCAACCTTGGAAGTGGAAGACACCTTGCGGCCACCGGAGGCTTGTCCATCGCTCTCAGTGTCGGAGCCGTAGGCTGTTGGGCGGATGGTGGAGTCGCTCATTGAGGTTAGCACATGCAAAACCCTTTGTACCAGAGTTGCTTACAGGGTAGACATTCTGATGGATGGTTGGAGATAAAAAGAAGTCGATATTAGGTATTAGGCAAGTGGTTCAAGCTGGACAGGCGCCGGGCCGTTGCTGGGTATTGGCGATGGTGGATGGTGTGGATGAGATGCAGGTCAACTGTACTGGCCTTGACCAAGTGCCATATCTCTGCCTTATAAGCAAAGTTGCCATTAGGCACGACAACAGCACACACCCTTCACCTTCGCCATGAGTCGATGTCGCGTAGGACGCTCGAAACGGCTGTTGTGGCACTCCCGTGTCTCAAAGTCGCTGCCATCATCCGAGTCTCGTACCAGCCTCACTACCGAAAAGGATTCCAGGGTCCAGACAAGACGGTCAACCGCAGTCGCTTGGACATTGTGGGGATATGCTATGCTTGCCGGCGGGGCGGCTGTGACGATGAAACACACAGGGGCTGGTGAGGCTCAGGGCGACCGTCTCAGCTTGGACATTCTTGTTGTCAGTCGAGCGACCATCAGACCACCGGAGTCATCAAGCGATCCCGATTCTACGGAACCACGGTAATGCGCATAGACCCAACCGAATCCCATCCGCAGGCGATGCTGGACATGGTGCATGTCCATGCTAACCTCCACCCGCGAATGCATCTCCATGATGCAGCACACGCAAAATGGTCCTCTCAATCCTCATCGCCACGATCGTAGCCCCCGGCCTCCTTGGCTCCCAAGAAGCAATCCGGCAATCGCAATCCAAAGAGAAGCGCGAAGAACACCGTGCCCGCCGCTGCAACCTCATCGCCACATGCGTCAAGTCTTCACATCGGAGCCGCGAAATCGACGGCCGGCAAGTCGTACTGAGAAACGGGAAGCTCTGGATTGATACTGGGACAGAGGACGGAAGCCCGCTGGGTCACCCTTATGCAGGGTATTACCTTCCTTACCCGGATACGAGTTACGAAGGGCTTGTGACGACGATTACAGATGTAGCGCCGATCATGAATTGGGTATATGTTGACAAAGAGACGGGAGAAGCGAAATATGGTGTGAGAGCTGATGCGCAACCGCATCTGACAGGCCCATTCGACTGCACGCGTCAAGACCGACGGCTCACATTCGATGGTTGGGAGGGGTGGTGCGCAGTTGAACAAGCACCCGGGCTATGGGGCTTGTACTTTGATCTCGATGACGACGGCCTCAAATCTAGAGTTGCGCCTGGTACGAGGGTATTGGAGATCGAACTCAGTCGCAAGGAGAAGAGGTGGAAGAAAGAGGCGGACGAGAGGATGGCGGATCAGACTACTAAGAGGGCTGTTGAGAGGGAGGAGGATGCACCGGTTGAGAAGCCATTAGGTGGGGAGAAGGTGGAGGTGAGGCCGGGGGTTGGTGCTGGAGTAGGAGAGGGGAAGGAAGAGGATTGGAGGCCGATGAAGATACCGAAGTCTATTTTTGAGGATCCGCCGCCCGTGGTGGAGAGTTTGGTTTTTAGGTCAAGGACACCGCCGCCGGCGTATGAGTCTGTTGGAAGGGGTGAAGAGAAGAACTCGGGGACAGCGATGGGACAAGAGGAAGCGCCTGGTGAGGTATTCAGCATGGGTCAAAGTACTAACCCAACGCCTCCTGTTGTAACAGAACCCTGGCCAGCTGAAGCTCAGTCAACGTTCGGTGAAGAGACAAAAAGTCCATCAAACGAGGCAAACGTCGCACAAGCTCAATCACCACCGATACGGGTTGATGAGATCCAAGGCACCACCCCTGAGAAGGTAGACTCCACGTCGTCACATGAAGAGCAATCCTCGTCTTCCAGCGAGAGACGAACCACACCCAAGCTGAACAGAAGCAGCGGCTCTCGAGCTCTAGCCCAGGCGCAGAAGTTCGAAGCCATGGCAGCAGCGCAAAAGACTAGTCCTGAGGCTAGACGCCGATCAAGTGAACGCGGATCGAGTGCCAACAGTAACACGTCTTCTGTATACTCCAATGAAGATGCGCCACTGAGCGTGCCTGGAGTCAGTACACAGCCCCAAGCTTCACCAACACCGGCCCCTCTAGCACTCGCCGTCTCCAAAGCAAAACAAGCAAAAGCACTGGCGACGCGGTCGCAGCCATCAGCAGCAACAATGTCTGTATCCGATCCGTCAATCCAACGACCGATAACACCTCCCCGCCAACGCGCACCCTCCACCCGAGAAGACCCAGCCATATCCGCAGCTCAATCTACATCAAATGTCAGACCGGTGATATCTCTACCCCGTCGACCAAATCCGTCCAGGTCTACTCCTAGCCCAAGCCCGAGTCCCTCATCAAGACGATCCACTTCACAGCAGTCGACGCAAAGATCCTCTCCCGACCGCCGGCAAAGAAATCGATCCATCTCTGAAGTCTCATCGCCATCCTCATCCAGAGCCGCTACCTTTCGCTCATCCACTAGATCATCCACTATGGCATCGGGTCGCCAGTCTCTTGCGAGAACTATGACCAGTGGGAAGGGGAATCAGGGGATGAGTAATAGGATGGGAGGGAGTCAGAGGAGGGGAAGCGCGAGTGGGGTAGGCAGGCAAGCTGGTACCACTGGTGGTAGGGAAAGAGCGGCGACAACGGGTGCAAGAAAGACTACGTCGGCGCTGTTTAGAGAGATTGATGATTTGGTTGGTTTGGAGGAGGGTGGGGAGACGAAGTGAGATAGCGTTGGAACACCATCACGCATTTGAAAGATAGTAATCTATGAAAACCATTCCATCAAGCATCGTTGTATCTATCTTACAGGGCGGTAATGCTTGGTTGAGTAATCACGTTCTGTGTTGATGCCCGAAACCGATTAGGCGTCAATGCCGCCTTCCATAATTCGCTCAGTGCCACCATCTTTCCTCATGTCGTCTACCACATCAACCTTCACTATATCGATTATTCGGAACTTGAGCGGCAGTCAACCCAGATGTTACACTTTACCGCATACGACGGATCTACCGGCTAACCCACCCGTTGCATGTCGTTGCGGACCGGCAAATGTGAAACTCGACCCACCATCGACCGACTCACCCATCGCAAGTGCGTCAGGTTTCCGACACGTTTTGGCGAAATGTCACATGCCATATTGATCACGCGATAACAAGGCGTCATGTAGCGGGAACGGTTTGATGGAGGATGTGGTAATGCTAGGTGGCGTGGTAAAGTGATTGCTCGTTGAAAGCTGGGGTAGCCACCCGAGCGTGCCTGATACTGACTGCTAACGACTGGAACTTGGCTGAGCCCTACATTTCATGGTATCTTTTGCTTTTCTTTGGTACATATTCCAGTTAATTAATCTTGTCGACCAACGCACGCGTGGCCGTTTCCGTACGGGACTGATCCGCACCTCCTACACGGCTTCTTTCCACTTTACTGAGTACCCACCATGGATGCATCGACACGGCTATACAAACGCTTGGGAGAGATACCAGAAGACCCGAACGACCCCGAAAGTCTGGACGATCTGATAGTCTGCGCATTCGGTGCCTTTGAGCGATACTACGTGTGCTGGAAGACAAAAGGAGGAGAATTTAGACAAGGTGCGCATACTTTGTCTGATAAATGGGGAGGTTCCATACTAACACTCAAAAGATGGCTACGATCTCCCTCCCGCACTCAAAGACTGGCTCTACCCCACCGACGGCACAACACGAGACTTCGCGTCCCTTCAGGTCGTCTTCGGACGAGGCGAAGAGTACTTCGCATCCGACAAGAACGGCAAGCTGGAGTACAAAGAGCCGGAGGTGAAGAGACCAGCGCCTACTGAAGATGAAGAGAAGCTTGATCGACAGGCACTGAGGAGATCGCGAACGGTCTCGTTCTTTCGACCATTATCGGAAACGAGCATACGATCGGATGGCGGAGTGAGCGATACGAATAGGAGCAAGAGGTCGAGCTCAATCAGTTCGCAACGAGCGAGTCGGCCACCGAGTCTAAGCTATACGAATTCGAGGACGAATTCGGATATCTCGCTGTTGGGAGAGACGATTGTTGAAGGGCAAATGAGGCAACCGGGACGACCTTCGTATATATTGCAGTGGACAGCTCTTGGCTCGGGCGTAGGCGATTCGGAGAAGATGGAGTCGCCGCAAAAGTCAGATCCGAGGACAGACGTCGAGCCAGTGATAGAGCCAGACCGCAAGCCGGTGTCGACGAAGACGACATCTCCAGCACCAGTCGAGAGCACACCATCGCCACCATCATCACAGCCCGCCCTGACCCAGGAACCCACGACACTACAACGGAGTCCTCCACCCCAACCAAAACCCACTTCAGAAAGTCTACCATGTGCATGCAACTGCCACGCTACATCAAACCCCTCACCACCCCCACAAAAACCCACCTACGCGACCACCGCAACCCAAACATCACCTCCCCCTACTCCTCTCCCTAGAGAAAACTCACCTTCATCCTATTGGCCATCGCAAGCGAACTACACTGCCATACCCCAAGAGCCTTCCTACTACACGGACGAAGACTACGATACACCACCCGTTTTCATGGGGCGCATGTCGACGTACTTTAGTAAACCGGGGTACCAGTTGGGAGATAGCTTGTTTAGTGGGTATCAGCTGATTGATTGGGGGAGTGGGTATGAAGAAGTGGAGGCGGAGGGGGATGGTTAGGTTGAAGAGAAGGCGAGCCGAGAACTTCGTTGAAGGGGAAAACTAAATATCGATGGGTCTACGATGACGCTACGTCTTCTTGTTTGCTGGTTTGCTGTTCTAGTGCAGCCTGTAGACCTGTTCAGTGTCTTCCTTATATGAGGTGTGAAGAGAGATGAAGTGGTTCAGTGTGTGTTGTGTATAGTATTGATGAGCCTTTTTCCTCCTAATGTAGTATCGATATTCGACATCTGACTTCTCGAATTGGTCGTTTGAAAACGCTTTCCATTATCATTTGTTTCCACAACCTTCATTCGATGTTCGCCGCTGCCTCACAGAAATACCTATCGCTCTCCTCATAGGCGCATTGTCACTTCTTCTGATCGATACCTCCACGACACTCATCATCTAAATCATCCTCCTTTTCTTTTTCTACACACACGCGCACACTGAGTACACCACACCGCCAGTAAAACTGCTTTCAATCCCTCGATACTCGACCAAGACCAAGCGTACACCCCTTTGTTCGCGCCATGCAGCTTACTTTTCCAGCATCGACACCGCCAGTCCCATCCATGCGACACCTACACGCGGTAAACGCGCCACCAATCCCGCCGTGCAACGTGCAACCAAAAGAAAGCTTGACCGTCACATTCCCGCGATCGACTTTCCAGCTGCATGCAGGGTGAAGCGGAAATTCTCCGCCGTGCATGTGATTGATGACTTACATCCGAACCTTGCACCTCAGCATCGGAACGCCTCAGCACCGGAGCATAACGTTGAACTAGTGTTCACAGCATATCCGGGGACTTGCTTACCGACAGCTGATCCCCATGTCTAGGTACGTTCGGAAATGAGACGGTTATTAGCAACCGACCTCGTGGACATGATGGGGCTGGCACCGACCGAGCGATGACGTCGCGTCTCGTGTTACTTGCAATCACAATCGCGAACTACCCATACCTGGGTACTGTACGCGAAACGCAGCAATGACAGCTGCCCGGGCATGTTCCGCCTCATTCTTCTTCTCACCAGTAACCTGCACTCGATCCGTAGCGCAGCGAAATACCGTAAAAGCAGATGATACCGCACCCCCACAACCCCCACAATACAGACACGCGCGAACTCCAACTCGCAAAAAAAACTGAATCATTGTCGGCGTTGGCGATCGCGATATCCAACTGGCTGTATTACCCAAAGGGGAAAAAGTCGGTGGAACGGTGGAACCTCGTTGTCTTTTGCGCCTCGGTCCAAAGAACGCGAAGGACAAACACGAGACGTTGACATCATTTTGAACGGGTGTCAGAGAGTCCACAGGGTCAAGGACAAGGGCAGTTTTTCAGGGTCCTGCCGAAAGGTCCGATAGAGATGCGTGCGACAGGTGCGACAGGTGCGACAGCAGACAGACAGCCGAAGGTAGGGGATTCAGGGATCGACGATCTTGCCTTGTCTGAAGGAAGGGTCCTTGAGGTCGACTGACGTACGTCTGGATTGATCTGAGAACCACCAGAACCTTCAAGATGGTGTTCAACAGAGCGCGCTCGTCTTCTGACATTCTGGACGGGGTTGCTTAGCGCCAATGAGCTGCTGTTCTTCCACCAGACCCCCCGCAAAGCCCACGCAGTCTGCGAACGCCCGAAAACCCGCGGGAAAAGGTATCATGATGCAAGCGATGCGACGCATAGCGTCTAGATGTTCCATATAACTTTCACATATCGCTATGCCGCGACTCTCGAGAAGGAAGTTCAGTTCGCTAGGCGGGATTGTCCGCGGCTACATATGCGAAAGTCTATAGATGCATTGCATGCGTGCGTGATTTTCGCTATTGGAACGCTTCGTTGCGAAGACGGAAGAGAGGGTACTGCTGTTGCGGCTGCAAGTTCGCGATGAGTGATTATCTCAAAACTCGGTTCGAGCGACCATTGTTAATAAGCTGAGCTACCTCTCCATTCCCGTGAAGAACTGCTACAACACTTCTTCATTCTTGGTTTATCTGTTGGCGATGAACACGGCTGACTAGCACTATCGTGAGGAAGTATGCACCCGCCCCCATTACGAAAACGCGTGAGCACACCCAGCTTACCCGCATCTGGTTCGCTAGAACGCCGACTGCACACCTCCCACTCTGGCGGTTCGTAAAGAAGCGTAAAAGGGAGGCTGTGCACTGGGCATTGGCATGCACAACACACACAAACCCTCCTCTTTGTTTGTGCTGTGCAGCGGGCGCCGGATTGTGAACGCATCCGCGACCGTAAGCAGCTCTCGTAAGTGGGATGACATGCTCGTGGTCATGCTGCTGATTTAGCTTTCCTGACGGTGCGGCTAGCTAATTGACTGACTTTGCCGCGCTGTGCGGACGGTCACTGAGCCGTCTGTTGCGACAAAGATCGGTGTTTAGCCTTGATTTGATAGCCTGGATGCCACCGAGGCCGTCCCGGCACATGCTCTTGTGCAGTGCGTCGTAGCATTGCGAGTGATCACGTCGATTCAATCGCTGCCGCCGCGAGCGCTGGTGTAGCGCTCTCGTCGCGCATCCCGTGAGACGACGTAGTGGTGTTACATCTGTCGCCGATCATCCACGCACCTCATCGTCCTTTGATGCAGGACGACCCCAACGTGGGATCTTGACAGAGCATGCGCGTCCAAAAGGTTAAACACGGTCTTGCTGGGAGATAGCCTATCCCTGTCGACCGATCAAAGGATACTTGGAATGTCAGCGAAAATCTCTGCCATGCAGGGCGTGGGCGAGGCGCCTCGGGAACCCTGAAAATTCGTTGGTAAGGCGTCCCCGCCAATTGGTGGAGGACGAAAGCGAACCTTGCGGCCGTGCGGCACGCCCTGCAGGCTGCGACTCAAGGACGTCACTCGACGATGCTTGAGGGGCCCGTTGGGATGCCTCAATTGACAGTGAGAGTTCACAATGAGAAGCAGATGAAGACGTAGGATTGTTTTTGCTTTCTTATTTCATTGTGGGCCAGACGTCAGAACGCCAAAGGCTCCGTCTATACTTTTGCGAAACCCCCACGGGCAAACCGCCCAAGCATTGAAATCACCACCCAAATCCATCCCATTGTATATACGTATGCTTGCTTGTTCAACACTCAAATGCAACAAACAGTGATGGCGGCGATCTATATAGAACGGCCTCAAACGCACATCAAGCGAATGGTTCGGGCCAGGTCATAAAATATACACAGGCGACCGATAGTCAAAAGGGTAGTCGTGAAGACTAAAAGAAGATATGAATAGAGATCGCCTAGGCGTTGGTATCATCGCGCACCAGCAGCGTCATCAATCATGGCGTCATCAAAAGCGACAGTAGCTGCGAGAGCTGGCTGTCCCTTCGCAGGCGTCTAAAACCAACCACTGTTGGTATAAGATAGATCAAAGTTGTTCATCGCGTTGAAAGCACCGTTGGTCTGATCTATAGGCCATGGGTCCATAGGAACATCTTCGAAATTGCTAGGCATCGAGAGGGCGGCTGTGTCGGCAAAGTCAGGCGAGGCGGTACTCGTCATAGTTGCTGGCGCAGCAGTCATGCTCTTGGCGTAGATAGGATCGAAGCCAAGCATGTTCGGCATGGGTGCCGTAGTGGCCATTGGCATGGGCGCGTTGACGGATTCACTCGGTACTGCAGTGCTAAAGCGATACGCAGGGGTATCTTCCCAGAAGAGCGACTCGCTGGCAGCCGACTGAGGGGCTTTGAAGTCCAAGTCCCCGAAGAGGGCTGGCTCTCCAATTTCCGAGTGCGCAGATGAGGCTACAGTAAGGCCGGGACCGCTGAGTTTAGACTCTCCGCTGTGTGAGATGGGCTGCGCCAAGTCGTCGTTGAACTTGCTAGGGTCCAGCGGGAGATCAGTAGCAGACCAGACGTGGTCGAAACCAGCAGATGCTGTCAACCAGTCGCTATCCATGTTTGGAAGGCAATCTTGCGATGGCGAAGTGGACAGGCTGCCCAGACCGAACGTACTGTTCACGGGTGTTACACTGTTGGCTATCCATGGCCACTGATTCGAGAACGTGTCGCTGACGTTACTGTTGGGAGACTCGCCGTCTTGTTGAAAGACGCCGGGCTGACTGCTGAACATCTCGTTGAAACCGAATGTGTCGAGGCTACCGCCGACGTTGGGAGTCGGCGACTTGTCGGCACAGCGCTGTGTAGAGCCGAACATGGTGTGGAAGTCGTTGTTCGATAACGAAAGCGTGTCCATGGAGCGTGTAGCGGTCGGTTCTGGCTTGCTACGGGCACTCTTCTCTTGCGAGAGAGCAGAAAAGGCGGCATGGCCGTGGAGCGTATGCGGACGAGGAATCTTGTACGGAAGGCCAGAGACGTGGGCCGAGTTGTTGTTGCGATGGCAAGGCTTGTGGTGGCCGTTTGCGAAGACGGTCAAGTGGCTCTCCGAGTGCGTCGCAGTCAACTTCGGTTTCGCGCGAGCATCGTGGAGCGTCTGCCGAGTAGTGTCGATCTTGAGATCGATCTCTTCCTTCTTGGTGCCACACAAGCACTTGCCGCCGGAATGGCACTGGCAGCGGTTGTCATGAGCTAGAGTAACGTCAGAGATGTCGGGGACGGCCAAGCCAGATGTGAGCTCACTCTTCGCGTCGCCTTTGTCTTTGTGCAAGTCCTTGTCCTTCTTGTCGCCACAATCACACTTGGCGTGATGAGACTTGGACTTGCGCGCACCGCGACAGTGCTCGCATTGCTTGACAGGACGACCCTTGGGGTTGATGTGGTGGAGATCCCGATCTTCAAGACGAAATTAGCACTGTAGGGTTGTGAAGCGTCGCACTGAGCGACATACCAGTGTGGTTGCAACCGCTCACTCGGTGGCCCTTGATGCAGGACGAGCAAGCCCATTTCTCGCCATCGATAACAGGCATACCGGGGCGATAACGGCCGAGTGCGGTCGTCGCAGCTGGCTACGAGCAGCTGGGTAGGAGCGGTCCAGGGAGCCAACGGGCTAGAGACGGCGAAAAATGACGAAATAATGCCACACGCGCGGTGTGAGCGGATGGATAAAGATACAAGGAAGAATAGTAGGGTTCAAGAGAAGCTAGTTCAAACGCCAGAGGGTATCTTGGGCAATGGTATGGTATGCTGACTTGTAACCGTGAACGCCGGGGAATGAGACCGAGGACGACAGGATGGAGTGGAGAGTGGAGTGGGAGATCAAAGGGGAACCGAGCGCAAGAGGCGCTGGCCGAAAGCGTTAGACGGAGCTCCTTGGGAACGACCAGACCAGTATACTATGTGGTGTTGTGCGGGTGAGGTAGTGATGAGAGGGAAGAGAGCGAGCGGGAGGAACAGGTTAAGAGGAACGCACACGGCCCTGCGCGGCGTGTAATTGGCTGTGGGGCTTAGCGTCATCGGCAAGTGCGCTCAGACCTCGACGCTCGAAGCAAGCGCGATCAGCCATCATGACGGCGGCTCCTTTGGGCTAGCGCGGGAATCCCACACTTGCATGCAAGTGCAAGCGCAGGTGCAGGTGCGAGCCAGCAGCACCTTCTCACCGCATGAATCCTGCCATCCGCCAGCCCGCCGCCGTCGCGATCCACACCGGACGCCTACGACGCCTGCGACGGAGCCTGCTCCTGTGCTGCGCTGGCCTCGCCAGCCCGCCTCTAATCATGCGGGACTCCACGCACGGCATGTTTCATTGCGGACGCGATTCGCTTGTCGAGTCAGCATGTTTCCCTTACCGCGACGGCCGTAACTCGAAGCATCCGTCGCCCGTTGCCAAGTGGAGATCATCACTATTGTCTGCGTCGATAGCGTCCAGCACATATAGAACCGGAAGCAAGCCTATCCATTACTCTCAGGTACAGTGCCCGCTTGTATATCTCACATCAATCCTCCGGCCCAGGGAGCGCTAGCCCGTCGACTCGAATTTGATCTTTTGTGGGACAAATGGAATTTAGATCGAACAGAGCGTCTAGCCCTTGGGACCACTGGGCACAGCGTTGGCATAATGTTTTTGAAACGGGACCCCATGGCCTTCTCCGTGGGGTATACTCTGTCGGTGTATTGCACCGCTCTTATACGGGAGATCCTGGTGATCTTACGCTTGACGCTGCAGCCAGCCGTCAAGTCGTTGATCGTCTCGTGGAACTCTGGTAGCACTAATCTACGAGAGCCGGAGTAATTACAGCATCTGACATTGAACGACTTCGCATTCGGTATGCACTGGCCTTGTACATAATCGTGACGCGTGAACAGGTGTACGTATATCAAATGATACGGCGATTCTCCAGACCGCGTGCCCACCAATGGCTCGAAATTGTTGAACATCTTGCTCAACGTGTCCAAGTGCACCGGAGACTTTTTATGGCGAGCTCATTGTAGTGTGTGGTGACCCAAGTAAGTCGGCACTAAAACCATCATCTGAACACCTATGGATCAGCGCATGATAGACAGGACGAGGTCAATATCGCGCAGCAACAGTACGGAGCAGCAGAAATTTAAAGTTTATTCAGCAGTCTCTTGACGTTCTTGAAGACGAATGTCATCGGCTGCAGCGTGTGGGCATTTCTGATGATGGCTGTGCATGGTGCTCCCACTGGCCGCCCGGAGCGCGTACGGTGAAAAGATAATCCAACAGCGACGTCGTCACCGACCAGTTAGTAGCTTCCGATCCACGCTGCAAGCAGATAACATCTCCCATGTCTTAAGAAAACGACAACCACCATAATGTTGTTGTCACTTTCCCATTCATCCAAGGCCATGAGGACCTGTTCTCTCTTGCCATGGTTCACGCTAGCGCAAAAATCGCAAAGCTCGCACAACTCTCCTCGGCGGCCTCTTACACAACACGCTCCTCTCGCTTTCCAACACCAGAACCTCGCGCGCGATCGCGCAACAATACCGGACCGGTGCTCTGGATAATTCCCAACGGCATTTCTACTCGCAATCTCGAATACGACGCGCTGAAGAATGGCTGGCTACGGGGACTCGGATACGCAGATGGGAGGAGGGCCAGGCCAATACGCGAACCAGAACGGCACACCACCCGCGCAGCAACACCAGTTGACTGATCCCGAATTGCGCCTACAGGAAAACCTACAGCAGCTGCGCGACGGTGGAGACATGATGCACCCAGTCGGTCCCCAGCAGCCTCAGTACCAGCAGATGGCTCACATGGGGCCTGCAATGGGCGCGCATCCGCATTTTGCAGGTCCAACGCGCCCTACGCATTCTCCACAGCAAATGGCGCAACATGTCATGAATATGGACGGACATCACGACCCGTACGATCCCAACGACCCGAATCGCAAACGCTCCAAAGTCTCACGCGCCTGCGACGAATGCCGAAGGAAGAAGGTATGCGATGCCTCCAATCCTGCACAACATGCGCTTACGCTGGGTAGATTCGATGCGACGCGACCAGCGAGAACGGCCCAGAAGCCTGCTCTAGTTGCAAACGGACTGGCGCCCGCTGTCAGTTCAGCCGTCAGCCTATGAAGCGCGGCCCGAGCAAAGGGTATGTGGATTGTGTGCAGCCTGGCGAGTCTGCTAACAATTTCCAGTTATATCAAAGAACTTGCAGACCGGCTTAATTCGCTCGAAAGCCAAATTCACCATCCTCCGGCCCAGTCGCATAACTTCGATTTCGGAACGTTGGGTGATCAGCCGTTTCCCGATACTCAGAGTCCACCGCAGTTCAAGCGCCAGCGCACTCACTCCATGACAGATGGGTTTCACGAGGCATTCAGCCGGCCCAACTGGTCCGCACAGGATCGCGGTAATGGTGGATCTGTAGACGCACATGGTCTGCCTGTGCTAGGTGATCAAGACTCGTCGCTCAATGGCAACCGTCGTACCTCTTTTGGAGAAATGAGTTTGGGCGGCAGTCTTATCACAGGCTCTCACGAAGAGATTCTCAAAGCGTACGTATACCCGCACATGTGAATTTGCCAGACACTAAACCATATCTCAGGTATTACAACATCATTCATCCCACGTTGCCTGTTCTGCCACATCACGAGTCACAACTGAACCGCCTTACAAACTGTCCGTCAAAGCTGCGAGAGACGTTCTTCCTCGTGCTAGAAGGCTGTATCCGGTCCATTGCCTCGAAGGCTCTGCCGCCTATCGATATCAGTCTTAATCAGCTGTTACAACAGTGTTTTACTTCAGTCGACGCGGCGAACTATTGTCTTCATGACACGGATAGCTCACGACGGTTCTATAACCACTTGGTTTACTGCCAGTCACTGATCTTGCTTGCTGCAGCATCTGACAGGCCTGGCCCAAGCATCATAGGCAGTACTACTGGACTGCTTGCCCGTGTCTCAGCATGCATTGCAGATGTCGGAATAAATGATGCCAGAACCTTGGCTGGACTGAAAGAACAAGATCTCGAAGTGTATCAAACAGCACGGCGCGTATATTGGACTGCGTTGATCATAGACCGTTTCCACGCGTCTAGTCAATCGACGGACATGATGATTCGACGATACTCTGGAACACTTTCGCGAGACGATTACTCAGCTCTGGGTGAAGTCGCTTATTATCTCGCCCGTAAGTGCCAGGCTCATTCCAAGTGATGAACATCCAAGACTAATCTTCATCAGGTGTCGCCCTACTAGTTGGCCGTATTGCCTACGTCAATCGCGCAGGGAGCATCCCGAACGTCGACCCAGCAGCCCCTTTCGCTTTTTCCGCGCTCAAACCCGGAACCACTGAGTCAGAGTACCTCAACGGGGCACTAGATGAAATCAAGCAATCCATCGACCTGACCACCTTGACGAGTAACTCGCCCCCTCATCTGGCGCACCAGTATCTCAGAGTCTTCATCGCGCGGCTTTCAGGGCAGAATTTGCCTTCAGCCGAGGTCCTAGAAGTCACCAAAGACCTGCTCAGCAACCTTATGAGCGGTGCAATCACACCTCTGCACCACATCTTCGCCGCTCTAGTCGCTACATCCCTCACCGAATTAAACGACCGAGGCGAACTAAGAGCAGAAGCAAGCGCTACCATCAAAGAAATGAGCGACGCCCTATCAAACGGCCAAATCATCCACCGCAGCTCCGACGGTCTAGGCTGGGAAACCGCAATCGGCGACCTACTCCGCAAGAAGAAATCCTCCACACCCCCCTACACAGGTCCCGAACAAGCCAGCCCCGCGCTAGAACCCAATATGGCCGGCCTGCAACATCTCGCCGCAGCTGCAGTAGGGGAACGGGAAGGAACGGGTGATAATAACCGTCCTGGTAGTTCTTCGCAGCAGAAGGTTGATAATGATCTTTCGGCTGCTATGGCGGCGGCGAATGAGGCTGCTAAGGCGCAGGCGACTGCTGTTGCGGCTCAGGATTTGTTCCATTAGATGTGGTGAGCGTGGTTGTGCGTGAGCGATGCTTGTCTTCTTTTTTTGTAGTGGATATACCCCTTTTAGCGGTGAGCTGGTATGATGGTCTGAGTTGTAGGCTTGTATCATTTTGTAATGAGATTCATTTGTCTACTTGCTCTATTGACAGTTTGAGAATCCTGAGGTATCGTGCTCCAGTTGTTACTACACTTCGGGGGCCTACGCAGTGTTCCGCCTTACTCGTCCACAGCATCGCTCTCGACCTCATCAAGCGATTCGCTTTCGTCTTCTTCGATCAAACCGTCCTCACCTTCATCAACCATGACAACACCCATCTCTCGCCTACCCGCAGCATGTGCAGCCTCGTCCTCTTGCTTCAGTCGATCCAGTACAATGTTGACCTCCGGTACTAGTACGTCGTCGACAAAAGATAATAGATCGCCGTCGTGCGAGTCGTACTGTGCGTCAAGGAGAGGTACCAAGTCTTCTAGCAGACGTACGAGATAGGCGTCTTCTTCTTGGATGCGGCGCAACTTGTCTGGGGGGTATCGCGGAGGAGGCGCACGCTGAAGGTCAGGCTCGGTCGTTTGGTAGAGAGAGTCCATGAACCACCATAGATCGCAACAGGTGTGCCGAATGCCTAGCCAGGAAAAGACACATAGCCTGATGAGGTCGCTGATTATCCACCTATTCGCCGCGTCTTTAGCCACCTCTGCTACGCATTGCAAAGACTTCCTACACTTTTGATACCTATCTTGCATCTGAGAAGAAACGTGCTCTAACCTTAGTAGATCCAGAATCCCTTCCCGGTTTTTAGTTTCTCCACACCGGAACTGGTGACGGAAGAAAGAAGCAATAGCAGTACAGCCGTGCGTACTACAGCTGCATTGGCAATCGTCCGTGACCGTGTGTCGGAATAATTTTGCAATGTTATCGCAGACATCGTCTGTCATGACTACTGTAGTTCTGAGCATGAGTTGGGATGCTTTTGCGCTGGTGAAATGTAACGCGGTGATCTTTGATTCCGGCAAGCAATCGGTGATATCCGCCCCTTTGCCCAGGAACCAGTCTATCATTCTGAAAAACTCAAGTATTGCGTCAGGACGACTACGAATTTTTTTCCAGGATGCGATTCCGAGGTGAAATGGCGAGTAAGCCACATCGTCGCAGCATTCTTTGTCTACTATAACAACGTCCTTGAAGCCAGTGTCGTACAGGAATTGTAAGATGTTTAACGTTGAATTTGACGAAATTCTGGCAGCAGATTGTCGATATTCGTCATAGATTGTGCGGAAATTGTATATGTTGACTGAAGTCGGCCGAAAAGAGGGCGGAATGTTGAGGCCAATTCTGTCAAGTGCATGCGTTGCACACGTGGCGTGAGCGTCAAGAACGCCTCTTGATCTTTCTACGCACTCGCATTCGATTCCAGATTTCCGTATCATCTGCCGAAGCCGGTGTCTCTGTTCGATCAGATATGCGGCGACGACCTCTGCTATATGCACTTGAGAACCCGCCAATGCGTGTATAACTGCAGCTTCTAGGCTCCCGATGTGTTCAAGACAATCCACCGTAGCGTTTTCGCGCACAGCAAGCCAAAATTGCACCATATCTTGACTCTGAGAGTCCACGGCCTCCAAGAGAAGCAAGGCAGACGCATCTGATGTATAGCTTAAATGAGCATCGAGGAGGATCTGACAGCCGCGTGTCCAGCCCATGAGAGTTGTCATATGATACAACTTCGATACCTCTCCTTCTTTCCACGTGTGGTTAGAATTGTGCGTTTTTATCGCACTGCTGAACTCCAATTCTGATCTCAGCAACGCTGCCACAGTGGTTTCACCAAGGTCAAAGAAAGGATCTGGGAAAGATGTGAACGAAATTCCGACCCACGAGCTATAGCTTTGGGCAACGTCAATAGCTGTCGATATCCTTAGGTCGTAATGCAGAAGATCGGACCCCAGTATCTTGAATACGGAATTGGACGAAGTATAGAAGCTCGGACTCCACAAGAGGAGGTCTACGCATGTTCTGATCTCATGTGATTAGTCATCTCTGGTATTCAGCATTGTGTCTTGTTTACCTTCCGTAGTCATCAGTATCCGATGCATCTGCGTAAGTCATGTAACTTAGGAGCTGATCTAGGAACAATTGATAGGTATCAAGGCTGTTGGGGCTCATGAGGTTCGCCATGCCATTGATAAGTCCACAAAAGTACTGTTAGCTTTTAGCAATGCCCCCAATAGTCAGAAGGGGTGGTCAAAAGCTCACGTGTAACAGCGTTGTTCCGTTCCCCAAACGTTCGTGAGGTGAAGCCTGACGTGTCTGAAATATCTTTTTCAGCTCCGCGACGTAATCCAGGTGCTTAGATCCGCCACGATTGATAATGGGAACCATCTCGTCAATCAGGCAGAACGCTGGGGACGATTCTATAGTGACGATCCGACGGAACAACAAGCTTGGCATGATCGAGAAGGTGCCACTTCCAATAGACAGTTGCATAAACAAACGGAGTTTCAGGCCAAGGATCAGGTAACAAAGTATCATCCCAAACCCGATTGTCATCTCGTGGCTTCCAGACGTCCAGAATGGGCAATTTGTATCATGGTAGTGTGTTTCGTTCCGTGATACGACGAATGGAGACCGCACAAATTGCTTCCTTAGTAGGCGCTTGCGACATGTGCACAAGACGGAAGCATCTGGATTTCCCACCTGTACGGAGGGCGATCGTCGCATGCTCTGCTCGAATTTTCGTAGAGTTCTTGTCTCTTCTTCCAGACTTACTGCAGACATTGGCAGTAATGCACCACGGCGACTGTTCTGTGGCCATATTGCGGGGGATATCGGGAAGTGAACTCCAATCGGAGGTTCCTGGGCAAATATATGATCATGTCGGCCGACAAAGGGCTGTATGAAGTCTGAACGTTGTTCACTGGTGGCTAACTCTGCGCTTGTGCTCCAGCTCTTGTCGATTGAGTAGCCATTAGGCAAAGTCTGAGCGCGTCGCTGCTGATCGAGAATCATCTGGGTAGTCAGAGACAGTTGACCAAGCTGTCCCTGTACAGTCGCGAAGTTTTGTTGCCACTTATCCCTATGCAATATTAGCTGTAGTGTCATTGATTACACACTAATGCGGCCATTACATCTCTAACGCCTGCAACGCAATCTGCAAATTCTGTCGAATACTGCTCAAAGCATCTCTCCAGTACTTGATGTCGCTCTCTTTGAACGGATACGCTAGTCGTTTCATCACTTTCCGTGACTGTGTCGAGAACCTGCTGGAGCTCGTCGAAGGAGTGTCATCTCCGACCTTCGTTCTGATCCACTCTATGGAGAGCGCGCATTGCTGTATGATAGCTTTGACCAATGCGATAGGTGTCGTGGGGTCCATTCTGCTGGTGGCAGTCTCCAGATACTCGAGGAGATCCACCAGTGTGTCCAGTTCGCGGGTAATCTGTTCAGCCTTCTTTTTCGCATCCTTAACACCATTCGTATATTCGGAGAGTTTGTCGTAAAGTTGCAGGGAAAGAGAGATGACACCAACAATGGTGCCGGCCACTTCGGCCATGGCGGTCGTATGCAGAGGTGGGTGGAAAGTGGGATGGAGGAAGAGGCTGGAGGGCGTCAGCAGAATGAGTTATCGTAAGAAGGCGCAGCACAGCAGTGCGCCTGCCGTAGACAGCTGGCCACCCATTGGAGTCGGTGGTGCGGGGATCACCTGCAGCTCAGCCTTGCGACGATGCCAACCTTGCGGGCTTTCAGCCTCATCCAGCTACAATTTTGCTTGATAAATTCGAAGAAGTTGGCATATCTTATGCACTTCGTGATATGTGATCACCTTGAATTTTCATGCAGATTGCAGTCACATACACCTGCGACAACACCGCATACATCGTTGAAAAACTTCATGGACTACGAACTCTCAGCCCATCCCTAGTAGACCTTTGAGTCTAGCTACCTTCCCGATAATAATACCCTTCAACCCTCCAGCACCCATAGTAGGCACCTCATCAACACCCACAAAGCGCCTAACAAGCAGATTGAAGATATTGCCAAAGCCCAATGCCATAACCGTACTAGTCAAAATAATAACGTTATACGGCATACTGAAGTCCGGCGTGGGAAGAGGAAGTAGCAGCGAAGTAGTGCGAACGTAGATACCTTTGTTATCTCCTGATTGCGGCGACAGAACACGGATAACAGCAGGTGCGACGTCGAAGCCTCGATTCGCATCTGGCGGGTATTCCGTGTAGCGCAGAATCGCTTTCTCGAAGTCGTACGTGAGGGTGAGCGTGGAAGCTGGTGGGATGACCATGCGTAGCTCGAGGTGGGTGCCGCGCTTGCGGTCGACAGCTGGGCGGTAGTAGGTTTCTTTGATCGGGCTCTCCTCGGTAGTATCGACGCGGGCTTGGAGCGTATGAAGGTATGGCTTCATGAACCAGGGCAGAGACTCTAGGTATACTATCTCGACTGCATTGGTGGTAGACGGGTTCTTGATGACGGACTGTGTACTGCCTCTTTCCTGGCCGTGACCATTGATGGATCTTGCCGCGAAGACTAGGGGGTCGGGACGGACAAGACCGGTTTTCATTTTCTGCTCGGGTAGGACGAGGTCGAGGTCTTCGCCGACGGGGAGCTTATAGCATCGAAGGGTGTCTGATGCCAGTCTTGATTCGAAGAATTCTCCTGTTGTCTTGACCTCGAGTTCGCGCTCTGGCGGCAAGTTGATGCAAACGTTATTCGCTTCTCCCTCAGCCTGATCTGCGAGTGGACAGGCTCCCCTGAGCGGTCTTCCAAAGACCTCCTCCAGTGTCCACGCGGGCTCGGTGCCTTTGTTTAGGGGATAGCAGGTATCGTGCCCGTTGTATGGCTTGGAGGTGTCGCATTCCATCTGGTTGATTGGTAGAGGTCGCGGGATAGGGTTGTCTCTGGGTCGCTTGGCTCGCGCAATGTCCAAGACCATGTCTACGCTTTGCTCCATCTCTATTGAGCAGCTTGAGCTACCCTCTTCGCACGTCGGGCGTACATCGATGGCCATGGTTTGGAATGAAGCGTCGAATAACTTGTGTCCGTCCAGCAGGCTGGATACACCGGCCTTACCCTTACAGGGTAGTAGCTTGAGAAAAGGTGTAAGGTTCTCCGTGCAGACGACTTCGTGGGGTAGCGTGCCGTGGAGGAGGTGAAGGTTGGAAGAGTTGCGGTGCTGGTCTTCGGGGTCAAATGACATGACGGGCCGTATGGTCTTGGTGGCATCGATGAAGTTGATCGAGGCACAAAAGAGGCCTGACAGAGCGTTGGTAAGCTTCAGCCATCGTGCGAATGCTCTGTTGCAATTAGTCGAAGTTCCTCGCCCAATGCATGGAGGTCATACTCTTCCTCAGTATCAGCCTCTACCCAAGCCCACAGTTCAACGCCTGTCCCTCCTTCTCTTGCGCCGTTCCATGGCCGCTGTCCCCAGTTCTCAGCATCCCATCTTCCAACACTGAACCTCAAATGTAGCTCCCTCGTATGCGCATGTTGCAGAATCTGTCCAAATGATCGCGGGAAGTATCGGAAGTTTTGTTGTTCGAATGCAGTCGCGCTCTCGTTGCTTCGGAAGTTGAAAGAGGCCAGAAGGGTGTTCTGGGGAAGGGGTCGCAGGAGGAGGCGCTCGCTGTAGTCGGCGCCCGCAGAGACGAATCCAATCAAGGCATTGAGCAACACAAAGTAAAAAGACGAGAGCATCGCAGCATCGTAGCGCTCTCTACGCGAAATGTGAGCGGGAAGACTGACGATAGGCCCTTGATGTTGGGGTTGCGGCGGACATGTGGAGTGAAGGCGCCCCACCGGTGATTGGTCACCCGGCGTGGATACTTGGCACTGCCGCGGTCGCGATTTCTTTTGGCTGTCACTCACCTTGCAGCTCTCCACATCACGACCCAACCGCGCATCCCTAATAAATACACATCATGGCCGCCGCAGAAACGCGCAGGCTGCTTGGTAGGTTCTCTCAAACTTTATCACAACCACGACACCATGCTAACGCGACACAGAGCAGCTGATGGGCGAGCAGCTCATGAGCGGAACCGACCAGCGCGCGCCCCAGCTAAACATTAACGACACCAAGGTCTGTCGCTCTTACCTCGTAGGCAACTGCCCCCATGACCTCTTCACCAACACCAAGAACGAACTGGGTCCCTGCTCCAAGGTGCACAACGAGGCGCTCCGGACCGAGTACCAGGAGGCAGACGCGGAACAGAAGCGCAAGTGGGGATTCGAGTTTGACTACATGCGCGACATGCAGCATCACATTGACAGCTGTAATCGCAAGATAGACACTGCCCAGCGCCGCCTAGAAAAGACGCCTGAAGAGATCAGGCAGACCAACGCTCTTGTAAGTATCCCGGCTAGGGGACCTGCACTATCTGCTCACGCGCGACAGCTCAAAGCGATTAACGAACTGACCAAATCGATCGACGCCGGTATGCTCGAGATCCAAATCATGGGCGAGGAAGGCATGGTCAACATGGCCGTCCAAGAGTTCACCAAGGTCCGTTACAAGAAAGCCGAGAAGGAGGAGCGAGAGAGGGAGCTTCGCGCTCTGTCAGACACCGGAGGTCCATCTGGACACCAGAAGCTTCAAGTGTGCGACGTATGTGGTGCGTATCTCAGCCGTCTTGACAATGATCGGCGTCTAGCAGACCACTTCTACGGAAAGATGCATCTCGGCTATGCTCAAATGCGCAAGTCCTACGAAGCCCTGTCCAAGGAGCTCAAGGACCGCCAGCCACCCCGCAATTCCTACGCTCCCTCCGGCGGCGACATGGACCGAGGCGGCGGTGGAGGCTGGGGAGGAGGTGGTGGAGGATACGGCGGCGGTGGCTTCCGTGGTGGACGTGGAGGTCGTCGCGGAGGCAGAAGAGGCGCTTGGTAAATATCCCCGGAATTTGGCGTTAAGGTGTGTCTATGCGATTCCCAAAAGGTTCGGCTTACAGCAGTATTGATGCGAAGACTACCGCGACTCGGCGGTACTTGTACAACAAATGGCGACTATGGAGGCCCTTTCGGGCGTATGAGCTTGAGACAGTCCAATCAGAACATGTACGCTTTTCTCCAACATGCACCTGACATGCTTCTAACCAACGTCAAGGAACCTGTGCGACCCCTGGGCCAGTTAGACGGAATTTGGGCATGTCCACCTGCTATGCACCGTCTTAGGTGAGTTGCACTTCTTTGCGGTATGTTTCTGCAATGTGACGCGCAGCATTTGGCCCTGGTCATGACATGTCTGATATGAACCGCTCATTGATTCCGTAAACTCACGTCATAAGCCCGACCTTCCGGCCTATACGCATCTCGAGGTAGGTCGTAGAAACATCAAACATACCCACTTGCTGTAGGGTCAGCCGCATTCGCAGCATGAGAAATTCGCAGATCTCGATCTGCATGCTCGTTGTCATGACCCTGGCCAGCTCGAATCTGGCCTCTTCGTATACATGTGGCTCGCTCAGCTCTTGATTGATTAGTATGTCAAATTGGGGTTTCAGTTATCCACAACGGATAAGTCGACGATGGGACAAGACAAACGATATGTATATACACCAATGCATTCCTCTAGAATTCTATATACAGTCCAAGGGGGTATTCGCTAGCCACCGTGGCTTTATGGGTATCGTAATTGGCGGACATTCGCCCGCCATCCTGCGCTCTACTCAGAGCGAGTACTCGCGCCAGAAAAACGCAATCTACATGTAATCCTCCCCATCACCATCTAAGCGGTGCCATAGTTTCTGAAGTTCTCGCAGGGCAGGTAGTTGTTCTCGATGAACGCCGAACTGAACCTGATGCCATACGCGCACTCGAACTCCTGCTCGCTCTCGAATGGGAAACCCTTGGTCTTGACGGAGCCCTTGACGGTCTCGATCTTGTTAGGGCTTGTCGTCAAGCTGGTGTTGAAGAGGCGGATCATGTTATCGCATTGCTTGCCGTCGCCGAACATGACCTGGTTGGTGACGTTCATGAAGAAACCCAGCGGGTACTTCTCCTCCGACGTGAGTGACAGCCGCGTGCTAATGGATGCGGCGCCAGCCTCAGCGCTCGTCGCCTCGAACGACGTCGTTCCAGGCTCCTTAGCGTCAGGAACCGCGCTGTATGCATCGCAAGCAGGCTCGAACAACGACGGATAAGTCTTGATTCCGTAGTCCGCAGCGCCCTTCAGAGCGATGACGTTTTCAGCCGACATAACCAGCGAGGGCGTCCACTTGAAGGACGTGGCATTGTCACCGAGGAGATCGAGGAATGGGAATTCGATGCCACCACGCTAGTCAAAGTTAGCACTACTACCGCGGATCACGATCTAAGGTTAGGCGCATTATCGTACCGAGAAGTCGGGTATTTGAAAGCCGAAAGCTTGTACGCCGTGGTCGTGGACTGCCTGGAGAAGGGCTGGGTACATTCCTTCCGGGAAGTCAGGGAGGAGATGGCGGTATGCGTGCTCCAAGATGCGGTATTGCGAGGGGATGAGACTGCGTGCGAGATCCAGGGAAATCGGTAGGACTGAGATTGTGCCGTTCAACGTTCCCGTCGCATTTGTTGGGTATTGTGACGCAATGGGGTTTGGCTGGTCAACCGTCTTGCACACAGCCTGCTCGACGGCCTGTTGGATTTCATGGAGGACCGGAACCTGAGGACTCGCATTTGTAGTACTCGCATAGCGAATAGCAAGCAGCGAAAGAAAGCTGAGAAGAAAGTACTGCCATTTCGAAATCGGGGCCGCCATCTTTGGTCGTTGTATCGAGAGGAAAGCGAGTACAGGATGGCACAAAAGCGCAAGGTCCAAACAAGTGCTTATCATGGTTGCTGAGATTGACCTCCGGGCCGACTTGACAAACACTAGACGGTCAAAAAGCTGATCATGTGAAAAGGTTGGTAGTACAGCAAAAGGCGCCAGCCCATTTGGCGTAATGAAGGACTTTTTCAGCTACATAAAGGTAGTCTATACACACCGGCAACGCATGAATCCGCGCCACTAAAAGGGTGCCGCAAGGGTATCGAGTACTGGAACACAGATACCCGCAGCTGAGCGGGACGACTGACGCCGGGTGAATCAGGTACGTACCTGACCGCAACAGCGTCTGCGCGAGACGCAGCGGTGCTTTGGGCTGCTGGAACGAGCAAACGAGCAAAGACCAGAGTCAAAACGTGACTAGTGGCATGGAACTGCAAGTTTCCGAGATGCTGATCTGTCAGGTGGAGGCATGCTGCCGATGGGCTAGGGTAAGCCCTTGCGCATCGAAATGCTTAGGCCCGACTGCACTTGCTGGTTGAGTGCGCCCGCGCGTTGGGAGGGCGTGTATTGTTGCCGTTGGAATGGCGGGTGGTGCAGTGCGTGTGTCAAGGAGACAAGGTCGCAGTTTCATCGGCTTCGAGATGCTTGCGGGGCCGAGCGCGCACGTGCTTGCTAGGCTGGGTTCCGACTGGCGTGCGCAATGTATTCTCCGGTTCAAACCATTGATTGCTCTTTCACCACGCTTCTGGGAATGTCTTCTTCCAAGATTCTGAAAAACGCGTCGCATATACCGGTAGAGCTTATTGCTTGCGCCGCAGAAGGAGTCGTCGCGATGCTTCCTCTTTGATAGAGTAACAACTGAAGACATGCCAGGAAACTGTTCGCCAAACATTATCCAGTCGTACGTCATCCGTATTCATCACCACTCTATACGGAACCTAAATCCATGGGCTCCTTGCGTTACATATGGTAGCGTTGTGGCGTTGGTTATAGCCCGTGAAACGGCGGCGGACAAAGTTACGATCATAATCTTCCGGTGCTAAAGAATCCCATATCCGGATCCACGGTCGACCTCAATTACACTAAGGTAGGTAGCGTGCTAATCATCTCAAGTTCAACCGGTCAGACCAAGAGGACAGACCTTCGCAGCATTAAGATGTTGATTACTACAAGATTATACCAGCTATTGCCCAAGAACCAATGCGTATACAGGATATCACACACTTCCGTGTCGACCCCGCAAATACTGCTCCACCGTTGCATCATCCATCTTGTCGATCTCAGCTGCCATCGACTTGTTTGCTGGCTGCGCCGAACTACTCCTGCTTGAGGGTTCGGAATCCGACGAGGAAGATGATGAGTTGCCGAAGCCCAAGGCCGCGTATACAGCCACCACTGAGTTTGCAAGGTTTGTCGCAGCGCTCGTTGCTTGACTGATGTAACTCTGATCCCCTTGTGTCTCGCCATCGACTTGAGCGGCTGTTCCAGACGCTGAACCTTCTTGACGGGTAGGTTTTGCAGAAGATGGCGTACTATCGTTTTGTACGGTGCGAGGTGCAGGTTGCGAAGCCCGTCTTTCGGCCTCCTCGGCAGCGCAAACTTTCGTCAACTCCTCATGACCCGTCCGAGGAGGAGGTTGTGAAGCTCGTCTCTCAGCTTCTTCAGCAGCGCGTACCCTCGTCAGCTCATCGTGGCCTGTCGGCTCTGGCTTCGGCTGATTGTCCACAGCCACAGCCGGCGGCGCACTCTCCCTCCTCTTTTCTTTCTCCAACGTATCATTCAATTCCTTGCCAAACAGTAACTTAAAGAAGACCACGAGAAGGACCTCCTCCGTCTTTCGATTCCGAAGTACATATCTTAGATGATGCGTCTTTTCATCCACGTATTTGGCTACACTGATCGAAAACCCGGGTAACCTCAAGGAGAAATTCGCAAAGTCAAGATGTGGATTGAAGAAGTCGGCATGGTACATGCGGCCCTTCTCGAACGTAAATGCTGAAAGGGCTTGCTCATCGAGGTAATGCTTCCGCCGCTTCTTCCATTTGGAAGGCATAGACGATGTTTTGCGCACTTCTTTGCCGCTCCCGGATGCACCTTCTTCGATCACACTATCACTTTCTTGACTGAGACTTGCGAGTTGATCTTGTGCGGACACATCGCTCGTCCGATCTCCGATTCGGAAGGCAAAGAAACTTGACAGCGCGGGTCCGTAGAGATACGGCTCGTCAGAGTATGCATCTGAGTAGAGCCCGGGATCCAGCATACTCGTGGCAATCTTCATTGCGTACCTGAAACCTGGTGGAAGCTGGTGCTTGATCGAGTGGCCGTAATCGAAGCCCATGACAAGATCGGAGCCGGACATATCCTGCTTGGGAACGAATGAGTAGGCGATGGAGTATCTATCAGAGGTATGTTGTGGGTGTTCAAAGTAAGATGATGAAGCTGGCGATCCACGTGGTAGGCCATGGTAGTCTTTGATTCGGACGCGGATCCATGCTTCCACTATGTCGCTCTCGACGTGTGTGGGTTCTGCGCCGTTGACTGATACTTGTTCGTGTTTTGAGGCATCATAGGATGGTCCGGCAGTCACTAAGGATCATCAGCATTTCGTGGGATAATTCCAGTTCACTACAACATACCTTGCAGAAGGTACTTGTCGCGTGCCTCAGGGTCTACAACGTTGCCCGACATGTTGGTAGTAGAGTCCGACGATGAACTAGTGCAATAGCCGTTTGGTCTATCGGGAAAGAAAGCCGGGCAAGTAGATCTGCCAGTTGGAGCGACAGGTAAACTTATGTACCGTTGGACGCATCTTGTATTGAATGATCAGGCATCATCGTAGTTCGCACATCAATCAAGCTCGAATCCGCGGCCCTGCGTTGGTGACGACCAAACGGTTCCACGAGTCCATGACGTTATGATCAGCTACTGGCCAATCAGAAGATGTGGCTAAGCCGCTTGCGTGGCTGCTTCGTCGTTCCTTCTCAGCAAGCATCACGAACAACATCTGAGCAAGGACGAAGATAGACATAGCGGGAAGCAAATACTATTGGAACTACCCAGGTACACACAGCTTCAAGCCTGCGCAAGGAGCAGCTTACTCTTCTCTGCCAAGCTTTGTGCCAGCTGTGTCATCGGGATGTTCT